GTGGAGGGAGCTGGAGGACAGCAGTCGCAGGCTGGGCAGTGCTGCAGGCTGTGGGAGGCACAGGGAGGGGGGTCTATCAGTGACACTCAAAGCCTGTGCTGTCCCCAGTGTGTGGCCAGCAGCCCCCCAGCTCTGGCTACCTCAGCTGTGGCAGCGTAGCTGGTTTCTCTTGAGCTTTGCGTCTTCCCTGAGGGCAGACAGGAGCTGTGAGGACTTTTTGGGTGCCAGCTGATCGGGCATCTGGGGCTGTGTCCTGCAGCCTCTCCAGTGGTGTGGTGTGCTTGGAGGCAGAGCCAGCTGAGAGTCCGCAGGGGCCTTCTGGGCGTCTCATTAAGCTGCAAGCAAAGGGTAATTGCAGGACTGCTGGCTTGGTGCAGGAAAAGGCTGCGGGCAGTTGGCAGGGCTGGCACAATGCAAATCAGCAGCCGTTAGAAATTCCAGCGTAAATGTAACAGGAAAAGAAAACCTAGAAATGAGTTGTTCATGGGACTGAGGGACAGCTTTCCACCAAAGATGTCAGACCCCAGGAGTGGGTTTTGCTCTCAACTGAGGAAGATCTGGGCTGTGGTAAGTTCAAACACCCCTTTGGCTCGGTCCCATCCTGGTGCTTGTGACGGATGGGGACCCGGCTCTCTGCTGTGGTGGCCGCAGGGGACGTCCAGGCCCAGGAGGGTGGGCTGTGCTCCCCGTCTTCCACGCAGCCGCCCCGCACCTTCAGGAGGGATGCGGGGCTGCGTGGGTGTCCTGGTTTTGCTGGGACTGAAGTTCAGAATTCTCTTTAAACGTTTCAGCAGAGCTGTGTTGCCGAGAAAAACTGCAGTGTTCATTTCAGTAAACACAAGCTGATATTTCAGCTGTAGGAAGGACAGAGTTCTTTTCCTTACAGTAGCTGATAAGTTTTTTATTTCCGTTTTCACCACGAGACACTACGATTTTTCAAGGTTTTGGTTTTCAATCTTTTGCCTGCACCTGTGGTTCTTGTTTCTTTTTTTTCTTTTTTCTTTCTCTTTTCTTTTCTGCAAAGCAAGATGGGGGAAGCGAATGCCTGGGACTCTGTGGGACAGGTGCCCCAGGACAGTGATCCGGGTGTGATCCGAGCTGACCAGTACAGATGTGTTCTGTCCCTAAATGTCACACTCACTCTGAACTGGGGAGTTTGCAGGGGACGATCCCTTCAGCCCTTTGACCCGTTCTTTCCTCAGTCCCTTCTTTTTGGCCATTATTAAACAATGGAGGCTGCTTGTTGACTCGGTGTATTTCAATTTTAGCCACTGGTTTGGGGTATGAGAGGAAAGCTCCCTGCAGGCCCTCGTCTGGAGGGAGGGAAGGAGTGGACTGCTTTGCCTTTCATCCCCAGCCACGTTTTTATTGCGCTTACTGTCTTGTGAAGGCGCAGGCTGTGCTCTCTGAAGCCAATGTCAATATTTCAATGCAAGGCAGAGCACAGCTGACCCAACGAAAATCGCTTTTCATTGGATCAGTCAAAAAATAAGTGTCTGTGTGCCCCTTTTCCTGCATTGAAATGATTGCCTTGGTTTGATTGGATTTCTCTCACTGCTGTGGCTGGAGCCAGTTTTTAAAGTGAAGCCCAGTGCCATGTGGACTGGAGGGACTCCCTTTTCCACCTGTCAAAATTCTTTTCTAGGGTAACACAAAAAATCAGAAAGGACTGATAGAATCAGGCTTCCCTGTAATTTATTCACAAGTTCTTAACAAGTAATAATCCGAGTTGCAAACCAGGAGGATTTCTGCAACGCGTGAAAGAGAAATTTGTCTGGGAGGTGTGCAATTCTGGGTTGTTTCAGGCTTTCCAGATCTGAGAACGAGAGGATTGGCCATTGGATGGGAAAGGTGGATTTCCTCTGACTTGATCTGGCCGTAGAAAGCCAGAAAGGTCAAGCTGGATGTTAAGATCTACTCCACTGCTTTCCTCCAGGCAGCATCACCTTGACTCAAAGCCTGAGAGATCTTTGTTCGACCTGCTCTTTACGTGAAGGTGGAGACGACAGATCCCTTCCAGATGTTTTTGTTGGTGCTTTTTTTTTTCTGTAGCAAATGTTCTTGTGCAGAGCAGTGGATGATGGCAGCTTGTTCCTGAGCAAAGCCTGCTGCCAGGCGGCTGTGGGAGGCGCGAGGAGGAGGCAGCATGTGATTCCTGCCAGGGGTTATTAAATGTTTCTCCGGGGGCTCCCATCCCACACTGCTGCTGCCTGTCATGTCTCACTCTCTGCTGTGAGGCTCCTTGTGTGCTCTGATGCTCTCTTGTGGCTCTGGAGATGGCATCGGGAGTCAGAGAGATCAGACAAGGCATAGTCCCAAGTGGATGGCTACTTGCCCTGCTGCTGCTGGAAACACCGAGCCCAGCGTGCTCCTCAACGCCCAGCATTGTCCACCGCAGTTGTGCTTGCAAGGGCTGGATTCCCTTTCTCTTCCCCTTGATCACCTCTCCTCCGTGCTTTCCCCTCTCCTGTCACGTTTTTACTTTGTGTGCATGTCGCACGCAGACCAATAGCAGCGGAAAGGATGCTCCCCTGTGACGATAGACACGAGTGTGGTCAGACATCTGCAGTCTCAGCTGGAACAGCCCGAGGTGGTGTCCTGGCTCTGGCGGGAGGTGAGGATGGAGAGCTGGGTCTGGAAGGCTTTGTCCTTCTCACCTGCCCTGGGGAAGGGTGAGCATGGCGAGCGCAGGGCACGAGGAGTCCAAGGAACGGCCTCTTCCCTGGGCAGGAGGCAAAGAGGCGCTGGGGTAGGTGGAGGCAGAGGCAGAGAGGTGACACCTCACCCTGGGCAGTTGAAAGCTGAGCTGCCACCATGTGGGAAGACACCAGATGTGGGCTCTTATTTGGTGTATTATGGTGGCTTTGTGTGTCCCTCTGTGG